TATATATTAAAATGTCAGATTCAAGACTCCTATTATTGCATAATAATGGGATGTTACTTTTTAATCACAAATAAATTGAACAAATAATTAAGATATATGATTGAATTTTTTAATTTAAAAAATTCTTGATTAATAAGAATCATAATAATCTTATTGGCTACTTATAATCGATCAAATTTTTTGCCTGTCCAATTTGTTTATTGATAATACCTAAATTGAAAGAAAAATTAGATATTAAAATAGAATTCTAATAAGTCTATAAAAGGAAATAATTATTTTTAAGGTATTTAAGCATTAGAATTTCTTGAAAATTTAATTCAAAAGTTTTCTTACATAGTAATTGCTTTATGGTAGCGAAGTATTTTGAAATTAACTTTTATAGTAAACTTAAATATAAAATAAGAAATTCTAGATGTCTAAAATATAATATTATAATTTATTTTAATTTCAACAGATAAAATTAATTGATGTTTGAATTTAAATATAAAATCCTTAGTTAGTCTTTATCATCAAGCTTTGACAATTTTTACCCTTCTAGATTGCTTTTATTCCTAGAAATAATAGTGAATTTTCATTTGGATCTCTGATGAAGATTTGCAAAGTATGCAAAAAGTTTTGATAGGTTTTCTTAGGCAGCCAAATCTAAGGCAGATTAAATGTTGACTGGCTTAATTTTTATTTGGATTTATTTATAAACTAATTAAAATGGATAGATCTTCTCCTTCTCAGTAGAGATTATTTTAAGATTTCCCAATCAATTCTTCAAAATCTATGAATTGGGTTACATAATTTCTCCTTCGAATTTCTTCTATACAAGCTTGGTAGATCAAATTAAATTTTGGCTCAAATCGAATTACGAATGGCTTGGGATTTTTCTCTAAAGTTTCCTTTGACAGAATTTTATATCTCACTAATAGTTATCTTTAAGAAAGGATGAGAATTATCAAACTATACAATAGGAACTAAAAAAGAGCTAAATCTTTTTTAATGCTTAATATTTAAAGAGTTTTCTTTCGAACAAAAATAATTGTTCTGACACCTTTAGGAAGTAAAATAGCTATAGCTGTAGCTGTTTATTTTAGCATTAAATAGAATAAGAGTTCTCTATTCTATTTGTCTAAACATCCCTAAGATATTCGGAAATTTACATAATTAATGAAATTTAGAATTAAATTAGTTTAATAATAAGGTTGATATTTATAATAGATTAAGTATATTTGTAGTATTATGGATTACTGAATAATTACATCTTAGTTATTATTAGAAATATATTGAATCAAAAAATTATTGTTTAATCTTTCGTATTACCATTCATAATGATTTTCATTGAAAATAATAAAATATATAAAATAAAATAAAATAAAATTAAAGCATCAATATTGAATTATTGTTCTTTCGTATATGATTTATGTTAAATTGTATTTATATGGTACATCAGTCACAATCGATAATATTTTAATCACAATCACAATCAAAATCAAAATATTTTACTTCTTGAAGTACCTATAAATCTTTGAAACCTAATAGAAATCAATATTATTTGCTTTTAGTCATTTTTATTTATTACTTGATTTATATTATTCACATTACTTCTAAATAGAAGAGAATGTAATTTAAAATTAATTGATAAGTAGAAAGAAAGATTATTAATCTCATGATTTATTTGTAAAGTTTGGAGAGACAAATTTTATTTATATTGAATAGCCATTAGTAACACTAGTGGTTCTTTTAGAACTATAAAACAAAAATTGGATTGAATAAGATCCTAAAGGCATTATAATAATTTTTTATAATGAAATCTATTTTGGAATAAGTGAATCTTGTTTATGACTTTATCGATTATGCGAGTTATAAATTAAATATAATAAGTTCTTATGTCCAAATTAATGTAATTTTTGACCAAAAAATTGCTAATTATGACCAGAAAGTATTTATTCAAATAAAATAGAAGGCCATATTTTAAATTAAGTATTTTGTCATTCATCCAACTCAACATCTAATTAAGTGACTTCAATAAGAAATTGCGGGATTTTCAAATTTAAATTTTTTGCTAGAAGTTCATCAATGAATACAAAGCAAATTCAATAGATTTAATTCTAAACCCATATGGGAATTACATAATTTAAATTGGGATATATTGAAATCATATTGTTATGGTAGTATCAATAAAATACATTGTCTCAGTTTAGACTTATTGTTATGTCTGAGATACTCTATATACCCTATTTTAATTGTTTAACTGTGTGAGTCTGGTGTCTCTTATTAATAAAATAATAGTACATTCTAAAATTTAATGAAAGTTATTTAAAATACTTTTTAAAGAGTTAAATAAGAAATGAAAACGTAGTTTAAAGATTTCATAATCAATATTCAAACACTATAAATTAATTTTTTATAAACTTAAATAATATTAAGAGGATATTTAGTTGTCATTTTTTAAATTTTAATTCATTTGAATTGATTTTATATTCATGAACGATAATTATATTTTGCTTTATGGAGGTGTATCGGGTTGCTTTTCTGAAATAGTAGGAAATTTATCAAATTTCTGGTAATATACAGGACATTATCATTCAGCTAATCCATTTTTATGTTCAAGTGGATTGTTTAAAGATTGGGATTAGAAAATGAAGTAATTTAGCAAATTATAGATAGTTTTATTCAAAATAGATTTCTAAATAAACACGAGTTCAAAAGACTAATAAAATAACTTTTACATGATGTAAAGTGGAACTCATTAACATGGTGTTTAAGATTTTATATAAAGGAAAGGTCTTATAGAAATATCGTTAAAGAAAATTCAAATGGTATATAGCCTGTCAGGTATTTTACAAATAAATAAGTTTATTTCTGCATTCTTTTGTATTTGGTAGCGCTGCTCAACTTTGCTGCTCATCTTTATTTTCAATACGGAACTTTCTTAGGAGTGAATAATTTTTTAGTTTCTAACAAGTCTCTATTAGAGTAATATAATTTGGAACATTATTTGGGTAAAACTAATTTATGATTTAATTAGAATTTATGACATGCTTAAGGGTATAATGATGAAGTAGGATTAAAAAAAAATGCTATTAATTTAAACTTATTGATTGCTTAATTTTCGAGTATAATGGCTTGCTTTTCAGATTCTTTATTTTATTATTTTATTAACAGCTCCTCAAGATTTTNTATAAAATAAAATAAAATAAAATTAAAGCATCAATATTGAATTATTGTTCTTTCGTATATGATTTATGTTAAATTGTATTTATATGGTACATCAGTCACAATCGATAATATTTTAATCACAATCACAATCAAAATCAAAATATTTTACTTCTTGAAGTACCTATAAATCTTTGAAACCTAATAGAAATCAATATTATTTGCTTTTAGTCATTTTTATTTATTACTTGATTTATATTATTCACATTACTTCTAAATAGAAGAGAATGTAATTTAAAATTAATTGATAAGTAGAAAGAAAGATTATTAATCTCATGATTTATTTGTAAAGTTTGGAGAGACAAATTTTATTTATATTGAATAGCCATTAGTAACACTAGTGGTTCTTTTAGAACTATAAAACAAAAATTGGATTGAATAAGATCCTAAAGGCATTATAATAATTTTTTATAATGAAATCTATTTTGGAATAAGTGAATCTTGTTTATGACTTTATCGATTATGCGAGTTATAAATTAAATATAATAAGTTCTTATGTCCAAATTAATGTAATTTTTGACCAAAAAATTGCTAATTATGACCAGAAAGTATTTATTCAAATAAAATAGAAGGCCATATTTTAAATTAAGTATTTTGTCATTCATCCAACTCAACATCTAATTAAGTGACTTCAATAAGAAATTGCGGGATTTTCAAATTTAAATTTTTTGCTAGAAGTTCATCAATGAATACAAAGCAAATTCAATAGATTTAATTCTAAACCCATATGGGAATTACATAATTTAAATTGGGATATATTGAAATCATATTGTTATGGTAGTATCAATAAAATACATTGTCTCAGTTTAGACTTATTGTTATGTCTGAGATACTCTATATACCCTATTTTAATTGTTTAACTGTGTGAGTCTGGTGTCTCTTATTAATAAAATAATAGTACATTCTAAAATTTAATGAAAGTTATTTAAAATACTTTTTAAAGAGTTAAATAAGAAATGAAAACGTAGTTTAAAGATTTCATAATCAATATTCAAACACTATAAATTAATTTTTTATAAACTTAAATAATATTAAGAGGATATTTAGTTGTCATTTTTTAAATTTTAATTCATTTGAATTGATTTTATATTCATGAACGATAATTATATTTTGCTTTATGGAGGTGTATCGGGTTGCTTTTCTGAAATAGTAGGAAATTTATCAAATTTCTGGTAATATACAGGACATTATCATTCAGCTAATCCATTTTTATGTTCAAGTGGATTGTTTAAAGATTGGGATTAGAAAATGAAGTAATTTAGCAAATTATAGATAGTTTTATTCAAAATAGATTTCTAAATAAACACGAGTTCAAAAGACTAATAAAATAACTTTTACATGATGTAAAGTGGAACTCATTAACATGGTGTTTAAGATTTTATATAAAGGAAAGGTCTTATAGAAATATCGTTAAAGAAAATTCAAATGGTATATAGCCTGTCAGGTATTTTACAAATAAATAAGTTTATTTCTGCATTCTTTTGTATTTGGTAGCGCTGCTCAACTTTGCTGCTCATCTTTATTTTCAATACGGAACTTTCTTAGGAGTGAATAATTTTTTAGTTTCTAACAAGTCTCTATTAGAGTAATATAATTTGGAACATTATTTGGGTAAAACTAATTTATGATTTAATTAGAATTTATGACATGCTTAAGGGTATAATGATGAAGTAGGATTAAAAAAAAATGCTATTAATTTAAACTTATTGATTGCTTAATTTTCGAGTATAATGGCTTGCTTTTCAGATTCTTTATTTTATTATTTTATTAACAGCTCCTCAAGATTTTATTTTTTTTATGGAGAACGAATTCTGGTTTCTAAAAATGGGGTGGCTCTATTTCTTTTTGATTGGCTTTCTTCAAAAAATGAGTAAGAATGAATCAAAATTTAATGATATAATTTAATAAAATGGTTATAAATATGTAGCTGAATTATTTAATCAATAGATATTATTTTAAAATTTTTGTTAAGAACCTTTATTTAACATAAGGCTAATCAGTTCTAATGAAAATGATTATCCACAATTTTCTAATATTACTATAAAAATCAAAGTATCAAAAGCGTAGAGGTTTTAATAAGGCTTGAATTAATTACTTTATCCTCAAACCCGCAGAATAATATAATAGTTTATTGTAAATTTATCATCTTTATTCAATTAAGCTACATAATAATAAGTTATATGAAGTTTATTGAAGATGATAATAAAATCGTAAATAGTACAAATATAAATAATTCAAAATTACCTAATAAAATTCATCTGTTTTGTACTTTTAGAAAGTATAATAATATACTTTGAACAAACAATTTGAAATCAGGGTCTATACTAGAGATATTAATATTCGTGATTTTAAATATTAATCCAATAACTTTAAGTGCTGATTATCTATGAATTTAAGCTGTTTCTCTGCTAAAAATTATTTTAGAACTCTTCTTATCAACTTTCTATTAATACTGTGCAACCTCCTTATATGAGTATCATAATATTTTTATAAATTAATAGCAAAATTCTGAAATATACCTACAAAGGTCACAATATTAGTGATTACTAATTTCTTCGTTATTCTGATTTTAGTCGAATAAAACACATTTACTTTCGTTCATTAAGCTAATACATTTACGATACTCCATAACACTGTTCAGTGTACTCTAAATAATCTATATTAGATCTTGAGCTTTTGCAGAATAGTATACAAGCAGGAAATAATTGATTTGAAACACTGATACTATTTAGGGATATTGGAGAATAATCTAATTTTATGAATTATTTGTATTGCTTTTACAAATTAATCAGATTGATTACTGTGTATGACTCTACGAATTTTAGTTCAAATGCAGACTAAATAATATTTGATAAAAGGTCTAGGAAACAAGAGATTAGATGGATATACTATTCTTGATATATTTTTATCTAAATTAGCGTGTTTTTGAAATAGGACTACCTTTGTATTATTTTCCTAATTGATTTAAAACATTTAGTTAAGTGTATTATATACTTTAGTTGTCTAATTTCGTTTCTTTCATAATCAGTTATTATAATTAAAATATATATTTATTTGGAGCATCCTTCCGATATAGGGCTGATATATATATTCTATTTCATTCTTAATATCACAAAAAAAAGCTTTTTTTTATTTTATTATTTTCATATAAAGTTCATTTTTATAAAGATCTATTGCTCTTTATGAAAACTTTTTTCTGCTTTAACCCTTTCTTTACACAATTTATCATTCATATCATTTTTTGACAAAGGATAGATTTCCCCAAACATTTACTTTTCTACAAGCAATTCTGCTTATATTGAATGTTTCATCATAGATTATGAAATGCGTAATTAAATTTGGTTTACTACAGCTTCTGGCTCTATAGATTCATAAGGTTTAAATTACAACCTGTTATTCTTGTAAGTTATAATAAATTATTGAGGAGCTGCTTCTTTTTGGATGAATTCATAAGGCGTCCACAGACTTTCTAATATTTACAACCAGTTACAGAGAACCAAATTAGACCACAATAATAGAATTTTTATATATATGAGAGAAATGCTTTTCTTTCTTAAATTTTCTTATGGGCAAAATTCATCATATTTTCAGATTATTAAAACAATTTTCTCTTAAGTATTATATAAATTTTAAAAGATTTAAATTATCCTTCTTCACTTTAATTACTTATATATCTAAACGTCTCAGTCTCAAATTTTTCATAGTCTATTCCAAAAATTATTTTGCTAAACAATTTTACTTGATAGATAAAATCTGCTTCTAATCCGTTTTTGGAACATTCTATCAACTATTTCATTTCATATTTAAGAAGTAAATGAATAGTATTATGCTTATATATCACTTGAAAAATCTCAATTTCATAAATCTCATCAATTATCATCATTATCTGTCATATTAAAATTCTAAAAGTTCTCATTTTTTGTCAGTCCTACCAATAAACAACACAGAATTAATTTGTAACTATGCAAGCCATTATTGATTTACTTTTTTTGCCACTTACTGATTTTTTCATAAGATCCCAAACTGTTATATTTACTTTAATGATATCGATATAATTTATAAATGCATGTATTATAATTTCAACTTTCTCTTCTATCTACAATTCAAGAAAGTATAAACATTCTGTTAATTGGTCCTTCAATTAAAGCAGAAAGAACACTAATGATTTGATCTAGCCTATTTTTTCTTATTCGTAAACCTGGAGTATCTATTACTGAAAACCAGAACCAAAATTTGATTTTTTATAAAAACACTCTTAGTTATTGCATCTCCACCTTAACAGGTTTTTTCTTGAGATAAAGTAATTTATTATATAGAGTGGTTTGCCTGTTCCAGTCTTACTATTATACGATTGACATATTAAATTATAAGCACCCTAAGGTTGTTCAAAGCTTAATTTTATTAAACCAATAGAATTTGATAAAATTAATATGTATTATAATAATATCTTTAAGTATGTAAGGGGTATAGGCAATAAACAAACTTGTCATAGNGTGTATGACTCTACGAATTTTAGTTCAAATGCAGACTAAATAATATTTGATAAAAGGTCTAGGAAACAAGAGATTAGATGGATATACTATTCTTGATATATTTTTATCTAAATTAGCGTGTTTTTGAAATAGGACTACCTTTGTATTATTTTCCTAATTGATTTAAAACATTTAGTTAAGTGTATTATATACTTTAGTTGTCTAATTTCGTTTCTTTCATAATCAGTTATTATAATTAAAATATATATTTATTTGGAGCATCCTTCCGATATAGGGCTGATATATATATTCTATTTCATTCTTAATATCACAAAAAAAAGCTTTTTTTTATTTTATTATTTTCATATAAAGTTCATTTTTATAAAGATCTATTGCTCTTTATGAAAACTTTTTTCTGCTTTAACCCTTTCTTTACACAATTTATCATTCATATCATTTTTTGACAAAGGATAGATTTCCCCAAACATTTACTTTTCTACAAGCAATTCTGCTTATATTGAATGTTTCATCATAGATTATGAAATGCGTAATTAAATTTGGTTTACTACAGCTTCTGGCTCTATAGATTCATAAGGTTTAAATTACAACCTGTTATTCTTGTAAGTTATAATAAATTATTGAGGAGCTGCTTCTTTTTGGATGAATTCATAAGGCGTCCACAGACTTTCTAATATTTACAACCAGTTACAGAGAACCAAATTAGACCACAATAATAGAATTTTTATATATATGAGAGAAATGCTTTTCTTTCTTAAATTTTCTTATGGGCAAAATTCATCATATTTTCAGATTATTAAAACAATTTTCTCTTAAGTATTATATAAATTTTAAAAGATTTAAATTATCCTTCTTCACTTTAATTACTTATATATCTAAACGTCTCAGTCTCAAATTTTTCATAGTCTATTCCAAAAATTATTTTGCTAAACAATTTTACTTGATAGATAAAATCTGCTTCTAATCCGTTTTTGGAACATTCTATCAACTATTTCATTTCATATTTAAGAAGTAAATGAATAGTATTATGCTTATATATCACTTGAAAAATCTCAATTTCATAAATCTCATCAATTATCATCATTATCTGTCATATTAAAATTCTAAAAGTTCTCATTTTTTGTCAGTCCTACCAATAAACAACACAGAATTAATTTGTAACTATGCAAGCCATTATTGATTTACTTTTTTTGCCACTTACTGATTTTTTCATAAGATCCCAAACTGTTATATTTACTTTAATGATATCGATATAATTTATAAATGCATGTATTATAATTTCAACTTTCTCTTCTATCTACAATTCAAGAAAGTATAAACATTCTGTTAATTGGTCCTTCAATTAAAGCAGAAAGAACACTAATGATTTGATCTAGCCTATTTTTTCTTATTCGTAAACCTGGAGTATCTATTACTGAAAACCAGAACCAAAATTTGATTTTTTATAAAAACACTCTTAGTTATTGCATCTCCACCTTAACAGGTTTTTTCTTGAGATAAAGTAATTTATTATATAGAGTGGTTTGCCTGTTCCAGTCTTACTATTATACGATTGACATATTAAATTATAAGCACCCTAAGGTTGTTCAAAGCTTAATTTTATTAAACCAATAGAATTTGATAAAATTAATATGTATTATAATAATATCTTTAAGTATGTAAGGGGTATAGGCAATAAACAAACTTGTCATAGATATAAATCTTTGTTACCATAAACTTTAATTATTCAAACAAATTCAAAGTTTTGGAATTTGAAAGTTGTAATTATTGTGTTAAATACACTTTATCATACTAAATAAAGGTTTATTCATGAATTAGATTTGTAAACAAAAAATAGATCTCATTGAATTCTAATAAAAATAAATAAACCAAAAAATAAATTGAATCCTCCTTTTCCACTCATTCAATAATAGACTCTGAATACTTTCAAATTAATCACAAATTTGGGATTACCAGAAGAGAATAAAGAGAACCATTTCAGATAAATCCCATAATTGTTTGTGGAATCAAAATTTTTTAGGTTATTTATTCAGCTCTAGATTTTTAGATTAGATTGAAACTATAGTCAGAGGAGTTATAATTTGCAAAATTGCTTATTTACTTTTTAATCATTCCATTAGAGGGAAGGAGCCAGAATTTATGTGTTTGATATATTTCAGATACATACTCTCTGCTATCTGAATTAATATTTAAAATTACATAGTCCAAAGGAACGAGATCATAAATTTTATAAATCGCTACTTGATTAATTCTAATTGTTAGATTAACTTCTATATTCTAAGAGCACTTATTATAAAGCTTAATAATTTTTTACATTACTTTATCGCAAAACTATTATTTTCTTAAGCTATGGTGATATTACAGGAATAATCAGTATGTCAATAACAAAATGACCATAATTAATTTTAACGCAATTTTTAATTGAAAACTGATAATCAATGATATATGGTTATTGGGTGTGGTTTATTTGTCTAATTCTTGAGAGGAAAATAAAAAGCAGCATATGTCTATTAATAAAATAAATAAGGAGAAAAGAAATGAATTTCGCAACTTCGTCATATTCATATCTAACTGTACATTATGGGACTTATACAAAAATTTTCAATATAGAAAGAAAAAATATAAATAATACAGATCATTAACTTATTTTTATAACGCTCTTTGAACTCTAATGTGATATTGTGATAATAGATTAGAGTAATATTCATAAATTATAAATTAAGAGTAAAAATAGGCAAAGATCAGAAAAATATCTCTAAACATATGAAGATAAAATACTTGATTCTCTATCTATATCGATAATGCTTCATAGCTTTGATAGTTATTTTTTAGGCAATTTTTTAAATTGATCCTTATTCAATAATATAAAAATAAATTTTTTAAACTACTGATTTTTACTTGATTCAAATATTTAAAGCTTATTCAGCTAATAGGATAAATTTTTATAAGGAGCTTGATTATAAAATATGATTACGTTGGTATGCCTCTATTGTTAGTGTAATAACATTTTTGTTGTAAAATGGGATTAGCGCAAAACATGAAATATCATGTAATTGAACCTTTTTATTGTATTAAATTCTAGCATATAAAATATATAGAGAGAATTAATTCGAATAAATTAAGGGAATTTATTAGAAGAAATTATTGTAATGTAATTAAGATAAAATCTACTATATGGAAATGTATAAATTAATATAATAAAAAACGAAGAAAGATGTAAACTGAATGGTATCCAAGATTTGATAAATAATTTACATACATAGAAGAACCTAACTCTTTGTCTATTTTAATGTTAATTTTAATTTTAGTTCTAGTTTTATTTTATCCATTTCTGCCTTTATGATTTCTCTCTTTTTTTAATGTTAATTGGTTAATCAATTATTGACGATAGTATATTTTTACAAAATTTAGGAAACCTTCATCTTTAAATTATAAGCCATTATGAAACCTTTAAATAGACCGGTCCTTCTTTTTACCCAATTCCTTCACTACACTGTAATTAATTACTTGAGATTCTTCATTCATTGTTGTTAAATTATTTCATTCTTTTATACATAAATTTTCCTTCTCTTCTCATTTATTTTAATTTTCTCCCAGATCTCCTCTCTTTATTATCGTATTCTTCTATCAAATATTTTTCAATAGTTCCATAATAATTTCATAAATACATTGATAAACTCTAAGAATTCTTGATCAAAAATCCCTAAAGTTTGAATCATATCATATCATTTTATATTTAAAGACTCCAGTTCTAACCTTGTTTAATAATCTAGCTCTACTTCTCGGTTACAGTTTATTCTGAATTATATGATTGCTTTTCAAGAGTCAGATTTGGATATGATTACTGCTATACGTTACAAATTTATATGACTTATTTTATTTGCTCCACAAGATCCATTGTACCTCTTGGTCAACAATACATTTTGTTTGGAATGAAATTTTTTATAAACTTTCACTCATGGTTGCAATAAAATAAAAAGTCTTAAATCTGGAATCATTCTAGTAGTAATTTATGTTTTGACTTATAAAAGGAGTATTAATATATATAGAAGATTAATAAGGCAGTTATATATTTTAATTCCTAATTGAACCTGTTGATTAATGATTAGAGGTTTTTTTCAAATAAATGACAACAAAATCCTTCTATATAATATTTTTNAATTTGCAAAATTGCTTATTTACTTTTTAATCATTCCATTAGAGGGAAGGAGCCAGAATTTATGTGTTTGATATATTTCAGATACATACTCTCTGCTATCTGAATTAATATTTAAAATTACATAGTCCAAAGGAACGAGATCATAAATTTTATAAATCGCTACTTGATTAATTCTAATTGTTAGATTAACTTCTATATTCTAAGAGCACTTATTATAAAGCTTAATAATTTTTT